ATGCAAAATATGGGACTCTTTCGGAAGTTCTACCCGTCTAATCGGATTTGACTCAATGTCGCCAGGGAAATGGCAAGAAGTACATTGTCGGCCACGTTGTAGGGGTAGTTGACCTGCAGGGAACGGATCCGCTATCTAGACAGCCGTGGACGCTCCCAACAATCGTACTCCGAAACAATGCCCTGCAGCATCGTACATCTTAACGCAGGAAAGCCTTCAAAAGCTGGAATATATTCGTGTAGTAAAAAAAAATCATCTTAACGCAGGATATGCCAGACGGTTGGCCTTACGACAACGTAGCGAGAGCGAAAGCGCACGCAAGATTGCGTGATCGTCTACATTATTGTCCCGGGCGCTGCATGGCTTATGCGCATTGCTGATCTCGACTTGGCGGTTGTAGAGAGAGCCCTGCCTCGTGCGCGTGGACAGTCGCGTACACTACGGATGTAGACCGGAAGGCTGCGCTCGGGTGAGATAAGGGAGCGACGTGATAGAGACCCCAGATTCTGTGAAGCTATGAAATTTGATCCGTGTATCACTTCCTCAAGAGGTGCTCGAGTCCACATAGCAAACGACTACCCAATCGACAAGCCAACAATGCTTGCTCCACGGAGTGCGAGAAATCAATTCTGTCTATTCACAACACAGTCCCCTCCGCAGTCGCTCGTTCTTTCGGAAGCTCCTACGACAGGACACGGCCCAACGACAAACCCGAGAACGCTTGCGTCCTATCGTCAATGAACGAAAAGATAGCTCACAGATTCTTGCAACACAACTCCTCCGCATCGCATCGCCCCGTCAAAAACTAACATCTGCCCCGAAGTAACCCAAGCGCTTAAATCAAAGAACCGTTGACGGCTCATTCCGTGGTACCCTATTAGCCAGGCGATGATGACGCGTGGCGCCGTTGAAACGCCACTGGCACGTGGTTCTTGAGATAGTCGTTGGAGCCGTCGAGAGCATAGTCGTGGGTAGGGCATGGGCTAGATACGTAGAGAAAAGGGCTGTCGTGTCTAGAGTATGAGTAGCCACCACGCGGTCTTCAGACTAAGAAATAGGGTGTCACGCAAGAATGAACATGTTTTTTCCGAGTGCTTCCCGTACACGGCAGTTGGAGGTGTACAGCGGCTTGATATCCGTCTGTCCAATACGGTGCTAGCGAATACTTTGTATCACTTGTACCATCTCGTGCATAATCTACCACGCCTCCAGAAAACCAGACGCCCGCTAATACGCCACAGAAGACCACTCTTTCCATTCCCGCATCCACATGCACATCTACAACTCTTTCAAATCAGACTATCCCCTCCACTACCCCAGTTCATCTGTTGCTGATTCTGCTGCTGCTGCTGCTGCTGCTGCTGCTGTTGCTGTTGCTGACTCTGCGTCTGCGCCCTCAAGCTCGCCATACTATTCATCCCCATCCCCATCCCAATCCCACCCCCCGAACTACTTGCCGTCCGACTCCCCATAGGCGGCGGCGCAATACCAAAAGACCCCGTACCCGCTGGCTTAGCCGGCGGAGGCGCGATGCTAAACGACGAGTAAGGAGATTGCGTGCGTGACTGTGAGGGCGGTGGAGCTATAGAAGGGAAACTCGATAGAGAATTCGTTGTGTTTGTGTTGTTGCCCCAGGTATTTGCGGATGACATTGTGGTGCTACCGCTTGCTTTGCTCCAGTCGATACCTCCGCTCTGTGTGGGGTTTGTGTAAGAGGGTGTTGTAGTTGTGGGGGATACCATGTTGTTCATGCTCATGGCCGGTCGGATTGCCTGTTGTTGTGTGAAAGATGAGCTACCGATGCCTGGGTTCGCGGCGCTGAGGGCGGGGAACGAGGAGTTAAGCGTGTTTAGGGTGTTGTCTGGAGTGATGGCCCTGCCCTGTGGTTTCGGGGCGCCGAGATTGGTGTTTGGGGGTGGTGACACGGGAGGTGTGGACCACGAGAAGGTCGGGGCGGGGGATGCGTTGTTGGATCTTGTTCGGTTGGTGGATGGGCGCGAGGGGAGGATGGTGGAGGATGCAGCTGATGCGGAGGCGTTCGCCCATGGGTCTCCACCTAGCATGTCTGTACCACCCGATGAACCTTGCTGTCCTCCACGTACAAGCGCTTCGAAATCTGTGTCTCCATTGCCGTTGCTAGTATCGAAGCCGTTGGTCGCCGATGGGCCGCCAAAGGACATGAACTCGTTGCGTGTAGTTGCTGTGGACCCGTTTGCGCCGAGCTCTTGCAGCTTGCGCGTCTGTTCGTTTTCGACACGTGCGGACGTCGTCTTGATGAGGTTCATATACGCTTGGAATTGCTGCAAATTGAGCAGTGGTCCTAAACTGAACGACCACAAGATGGGGAGTACATCCATAGCGAGGAAGTCACTGTCAACTTGGTGGCTGATAGCCTTGAAGACGTCGAGTGCTGCCATCTGTTAATGTGTTAGCATGTTGTTTATGGCTTGTTCCTTTGTAACGACATACCATAACGGCAGGCTCCTTCGTCTTGATGGCACGCAGTAGCGGTACAATCTTCTCTTGAATAGTGTACTTGTCGAGAATTGAGACATTCGAGCTCTTCGCCTTGGGTGCTGCTACCACTCCAGTAAGGCCGTCACCTTGAAAGTCGTCCTGCTGATCGTTTCCTCCACCACAAAGTGTCTTAAAAGCCTCTAGGCCGCGAATCTTGATACCCATACTACTCGTCTTTGCAAAGATGCTGGCAATCACAGGGAACAGCTCATTCTTGACAGTTGAAAAGTCTAGTATCGGCAAAACAATAGGCAGCGTGCGCAGAGCTGCATCGACTAGCGAATGAGTAGGCGATTCGAGCGCATGGTTAATGATGGGAAGAATATCGTCTTTAAACTCTTTGCCGCTCGAATTATCAGCAGCGATCTGCATGTTCTCAAGAAGCACCATGAGGCCAGCTTCTTTCAGGCTGTCCCTTTCCTGAGCTGGGGCTTTCGGGTTCGCAGCCGGGGCACTCAAGAATGTCTCTCGCAGCTTGGGTATCACCTTTTCGGTAAATGCTCGCTTGCCAGATGGAAGCATGGTAATGATCTTGAAGACGTTTTGAAGTATCAGAGTGAGAAGCTCCCGATCCTTCATCTCTTCGAGTAGAGCAGGCAATATCTTTTTGTCAAGTACCGACTTGGGAAACTGATTCAAGATACGCGGCAGACCACGCATGAACTGTGACTTCTCATTGGGTGTCTTCCCAGGGAGTCCGTCAAGGAAGCGTATTGTGGATACTAGGATGTTGTCGAAGTACTGTGCTTGTTGAAACTCTCGTGCATCCATGCGCGACGCCGGCCGCCGTGTTATCAAGCGATCTAGAACGCCGTTGACGACATCTCGCGGTAACGGTTGCGAAGACATGAAGTTGTTCGTCTTACTTGGAACCGAGGAAGACGAAGAAAACGCCCGCTTGTAGGAGGAGGAACTACCATTGAAGTCCAACGGGCTCTTGTGCGGCGAGTTGTACAGTGCAATGATGAGCATGCCCAGACTGAACATGTCCGCCGCAGGAGTTATGTTGTTGTCCATGACGAAGTCGGGCGAAGAATAGTCCATGTTCAGCTGAACGTGTCGCGGCAGGCGAGCGTCGTAGTTGAGGACTTCTGAGAGCGAGATGGGCGTAACGGAGGTGGGCTTCGTCGAGTTCTCTGGAGGTGTTGAGAAACCAAGACCTGAGATTTTCCAATCAGACTGTCACGGTGATCAGCAAAGTGTTGGTAAAGATTGAGTAGCATTGTGGCTACCTACTTTAGCGTTGATGAAGATGGCGTCTGGGGTCAAATTCGCATGCACCAGTCCAGCGCTCTCGTGCAGAAACTCCAAGCCCTTTGCGATTTGTAATAGCCCTTTCTGTATCTCGAGCTCGTCGATTTCGAGCTCGCGTCTTCGCTTCTGGCCATCGGCTTCTTCGATAACGTATCGGCTGCGGCGCCCACCAACACCGCCTGCCTTCTCCTGCTCGTCTTTTTCTTGCAGCAGGCCAGCGAGCGATGCGGTGACGGGCTCTGTCGCGAACATGAGGCCGCCGCCACGGGTTTCCTCGACTGGCTCAGCCAACTCCAATACGCTTGGGTGTCGTAACCGAGCTAAGGAACTGGCCTCTTTCTTGAGTCTCTCCACGACCTCCTCATGCGCCCGCTTGAGTCCTGAAGCCGCTGAGCGCCCGCCGAAGCCTGCGCCAGCTGGTGGTTCCAACGACTTCTTCTCGAACACGAAGACGGATGCCGCCTTCCCCGTCGACTTCTTCTTCGCGTCGTAGATCTTCCATGGCCCTGAATACGACGTGGGCTGGGGGCTGAGGGTGTAGTTGCTCGAGATGTTGGAAGTGAAGGACTTCAGGGCGTTGGAAAACATGGTGCGGGTGGTCTATTCGCGCGCGCGGCGATACTGTGGGAGTCGAGCGAGGGCGTCATGGACTGTGATGTTTGGCGTGGGCGGTGTTGGTATGCGCGTGAGATCTGAGACAGACAGCTGGAACTGCCGAGAGGATCAAGACATTCGGGACGCTCTTTCCGCAAAATATCTTGGGAGACTCACCAGGGAGTCGCGCAATGTCTAGACTCGTCGGTACGATGCCGGAGACCCAAAAGTCAATTGATAGACAAAGCCAAGTGTTAGTTCCCCCACGCGAGCTGTGGAGAAGGATCCATGGATGCCAGGGCCGCCTCTAGTCTCCCGCCTTGCATGACGTGAGCGCACGCAGCACACATGGGCAGTGTGAATGCAGCAACGGCCAAGATACCAAGCACGCGAATAACCTCAGATATCCGCGCTGACGATGATTCAGATGTCGTTCGCGCCCTACGATTGCCTGTTCAGTGGCTGGTGCAGTGCGCGATCGGAGGTGACTGTCGCGACTGTGTCGCGAGGTCCGATATCTCCAGGCTGCGGTCAGCTTCGGTCTTGTCGCCCAAAATAATTATTACTCTGGAATCCACCACCTGCACCAACTCTCCTGCCGCCCCACCCTCTCCGCCTGCACTGCATCCCTCACAATGCTTCCGCAGCGGTCTTCACGATTGCTCTCTTGCCTGTCCCGTGGCGCCTTCCGTTCGCCTGTAGCACCGCTCAGCGCGTCGCTGCGATGTCGGACCCAGCGACCGTACAGCATTCACGCTGACAAGTCTGTCGGCGAGAAGATACAGGATATCGACCCGACCAAGCTCTCCATAACCAAGACGACGACGCCAAAAGACCTGCTGCCGCATGAAGAACTTGTCTTTGGCCGCAACTTCTCTGGTAACAGCTCCAATGGCACCAAACTTCACATCTAACACGTACTCAAGATCACATGCTGTCGCTCGAATGGACAGCAACAGAAGGATGGCTGCCAGCACGCATTACCCCCTACCAGAACCTCAGTCTCGACCCCGCGACGTGCGTCTTCCACTATGCGTTCGAGTGCTTCGAGGGCATGAAGGCCTACAAGGACAAGAACGGAAACATCAGGCTGTTCAGGCCGGACAAGAACATGGCCAGGTTGAACAAGTCATCGGCGCGAATTGCGTTGCCCACTTTCGACCCCGATGCTTTGATCGAGCTCATTGGCAAGTTTGTGAAGGAGGATGAGCGTTTCGTTCCCGAGTACGTTCAGTCTGAATCCTCTGTTGGCTACAACACACTCTGACCACACCAGTGCGCGAGGCTACTCTCTCTACCTTCGCCCAACGATGATCGGCACTCAGCGCACCCTCGGCGTCGGCCCTCCCGCGTCTGCACTACTCTACGTGATCGCTTCCCCCGTCGGACCATACTACCCAACTGGATTCAAGGCTATCTCGCTCGAGGCTACAGACTACGCTGTGCGCGCGTGGCCTGGAGGTGTTGGAGACAAGAAGCTTGGTGCCAACTACGCACCTTGCATCGTCCCGCAGATGCAGGCTGCAAGCCGCGGATTCCACCAGAACCTGTGGCTGTTTGGCGAAGAAGAGTTCATCACCGAGGTCGGCACCATGAACCTGTTTGCCGCTATCAAGAACAAGGAGACTGGAAAGCCAGAATTGCTCACTGCGCCTCTCGACGGAACTATTCTTGAGGGAGTAACGCGAGACTCAATCCTCGAGCTTGCGCGGGAACGTCTGGTGCCCAAGGGCTGGACCGTATCGGAGCGCAAGTTCACCATGAAGGAGGTGGCCGACGCTGCCAACGAGGGACGCATGATGGAGATCTTCGGTGCAGGCACTGCTGCCATTGTCGCTCCGGTGCGCAAGATCAGCTGGAAGGGACAGCTTGTTGACTGCGGGCTCGAAGACCACGTCGAAGCCGGCCCAATTGCACAGCAGATGAAGGACTGGATGGAGGCCATTCAGTACGGCGACGAGGACCACCCGTGGAGGTATGAGCTTCCCCGTCACCATGCAGATGATTCGCTAACATGACAACAGTTACAAGGTGATATAAGCAAGTAGTTGATATAAATGCGATGTGGTGAGCGTGCATGTTTGCGCAATAGACTGTATATACATGAGACCCGGTCGTAGCTTGAAAAAAGATATGTGGCCCCTGGCGCATTGACATTGGCAACGGTGATGGCACAGTGACTTCGCGATGGTGGGGTAGAGGATGCAGACGCAGAGCGTGCCTGACTACGCCCTCCTTAGATGACGTTCCTGCTAGTCTCTCTAGCTCCCAACCTCTCGTTACACCGCCGACGCTCCAACGCCTAAACACCCCGTCAATTGCCCGCCCAGAGCTGCGCCGCCGCTCGTCAATCCCTCCACCACGCGCCCCGACGACACGCCCCCGAATTCTCACGATGCTGGCCGGCGCACTCTGCCGCTTGGCAGCCGACGCTCCCAGGGCCTCCCCACACGACATGCCGCAGCTCGCCCGCACCCTCGGCCGCGCCCTCCTCGCCCGCAATGCCGCCCAGCACCCGCATGCGCGCGCCCTCTCACGCGCCTTTGCCTCTGCCCTCCAGAACCGTCGGTCGTATGCTACAACTACGCGCGCCACCAAGCCCACGGCGACGGTGAAGAAGGCGGTCAAGACAGCCGCCGCTAAGAAGCCTGCGCCCAAGAAGACGGCCACAACAGCAAAGAAGGCGGCTCCCAAGAAGAAGCCCGCAGCAAAGAAGGCGGCGCCCAAGAAGAAGGCAAAGAAGCCTACCGCGAAGAAGCCCGCGCCCAAGAAGCGCGTCAAGAAGGTCTTGACGCCCGAAGAACAACAAAAGGTCAAGCTCCGAGAGCTACGCGCCAAGGCACTCAAGGAACCCGTGAGCCGCAGGTCATTGTCTGCTCTCCATGTATTCTTAGCTGAAAAGCTGGCTGGTGTTCCGGGCCAAAAGACTGGGCAACTTCCGGCTGCTACGGCCGAGTTCCAGAAGTTGACCCCCGCTGAGCTTGAGGTAAGCCCTGTCCGCCTCACAGTGCATCACACTATACTAACTGTCTGAAGCACTACAACCACCTCGCAAGCGAGAGGACTGTCGCTAGAAGAGCCGAGTACGACGCATGGCTCAAGGCCTACACTCCCGACCAGATCCGCATTGCGAACAACGCACGTGCCCAGTTACGGAGGATCTATACGAGTGAAAAGAAGAAGGCTCCTGCTCACACTGCCAAGCTTGTCGATGAGCGTCATGTGAACAAAGTGATACCCGCCTATGCCGCCTTTGTCAAAGAAAGGTTTGCCTCCGGAGACTTCAAGAACATTTCCCCTCTCGAGGCTATGAAACTCATCTCCCAGGAGTGGAAGTCTTTGGGCGCTGCTGAGAAGAAGGTATGCATAACAAATGCGACGTTGATACAGGCTCTAACATATCCATAGAAATACACAGACGCCTACGCTGCTCAGAAGAACGCTGCGGCATCCGCATAATACGTCTAGCGGCAATCGCTTGTAGCGCCTGCTTCTCTATCACCTCTCTACTCAGAGCCGCATCGATTTCCTTTGTCAGTCATGATTTGGGCCTCCATGATACCGTGTATGTTCAGTCTGGATATTGGACCTCACCTGGTGTTCTGGTTCAAGGCGGTGGGTTCAAGGTTGGAAATGGTAAGATTCCTGTAACAGAGACATGTCCATGTAGTTTCTCAGAGTACTGCAATGCTTCTCCTGCGATTGTGGTTTATTCTAATGCAATCGCAAGTATTAAGAGTTGGCGTAGTTGCACAGGAAGTGACTTTGCACACCAATCATCTAGCGTGCTTTCCTTATCTCTACCACCCCCGGCCAAGCCCAGCAATCATCCCATCCCACAACATTTACCCCAGGCTTTGCGAGTAGATCTATTTCCGCGGCAGATAAGCGTGCGTACGGGATGTGCCTGCCTGCGTCATTGGGCAAGCCACCTTGGAGCTTCGATATGTATCTCAGTTATCCGCATCATGCTGTCCTCTGTTTACTCTCCTTAATACCTCGCTCAAATCTACAGCCATGGCTTCTGACGAAGAAAACGGACACGAATGTACTCCTCTCCTCCACCAAGCCCGACTATCCCATCTTCAACACGAGCAAGACGAAGAAGCTTCCTCAATCATCGCGTCCACGGTAACCAAAGAAGAACAGCAGTTAGCAGAAAGTACAGTCGGAGAACGATTACCGTATAATGACTACACCACCATCGACTGGCTACACGATTTGGTACTAACATCCCTCGTCAATTTCAACTACTCTCTGTGAGTGTGCTAACACGCACCCAGGTCAAAGACTCCTACCGCTACCGCGCCCTCCACTCCCACCCTGGTCTGCGCTATAAACTGCTCACCCTCCTCGATGCTTCGTCGGGTTGGCTTGCTGTCGTCGTAATCGGTGCATTGACAGCATGTATCGCTTTCCTCGTCGACATCGCCGTTGTAACAGTTTCGGACTGGAAAACCGGGTATTGCTCTGGCCATTTCTTGCGGAACAGAGAAAGTTGCTGTGTTGCTGCTGAGAAGAGCCCGTCGCCGTTTTTGATGAAAGAGAAAGGGGAAGAATGTGCAGATTGGAAAGTATGGAGTGAAGATTACAAGAGCAGTTTTGCAATCTACGTGGCCATGGCGATGGCATTCGGCATCATAAGTTCGAGTTTAACCATGTTAACTCGGTCTACCCTCCCATCTACCTCATCCTCTCAGCCAACGAAGAACGGAAGCAACGGCCATCCTACGTCTTCCACCTCTCCCTCCTCCAACCCACCCACCACACCAACCGTACAAGGCAAAACAATGTACCTAGCCTCCGGCTCCGGCATCCCCGAAATAAAAACCATCCTCTCCGGCTTCTCCATCCCCTCCTTCCTCTCCCTCCCCGTGCTCCTCGTAAAATCCCTCGGCGCAATCTTCGCCGTATCCTCCTCCCTCTGTCTAGGAAAAGAAGGCCCCTTTGTCCACATCTCCACCTGCATCGGCCACCTAACCGGGCGCTTGATACCAAAATACGCGTCCAATGGCCGCAAGATGCGGGAGCTGCTCAGCGCGGCATGCTCAGCGGGACTGTCAGTAGCGTTCGGCGCGCCGATCGGAGGCGTGCTGTTCAGCTACGAGGAGATTAGTACGTATTTTCCAAGAAAAGTGCTGTGGAGGGCTTTTCTGTGTAGTCTTACTGCGGCGATGGTGCTCAAGGAACTCAATCCAACCGGTACGGGTAAATTGGTGCTTTTTGAATCGCGGTTTGGGGATGAGTACAGCGCTGTTCACTACTTCGTTTTCGTCCTCTTGGGTGTAGCGGGAGGTATCTTCGGGGGCCTGTTTTGCAAGTTCAATTTCCTGTGGTCGAAGTGGTTTAGGGCTTTTGGCGTTATTAAGAGGTATCCTGTGTTGGAGGTTGCGTTGGTGGTGCTTGCGACGGCGTTGATTCAGTATCCTGATCCGTTGACAAGGGAGCCGGGGGATGTTATTATTAAGAATTTGTTGGTGGATTGTGGGGAGGATAAGTCGAGCGCGTCTTGGGTTTGTCGGAATGAGAGGGTTGCTAGGGAAAGGGGGGCGACGAATTGGGAGTATGTGGGTTGGTTGACGTATGGGACGTTGGCTAAACTTGTTCTTACGACTATTACGTTTGGGATCAAGGTTCCGTCTGGGGTTATCATTCCCGCACTGGATGCGGGTGCTTTCTTTGGGAGGCTGGTGGGTCAGGCTATCGGTTCAATCAGTCCGGGTATCTTCGCCATGGTGGGTGCTGCTGCGTTTCTGGCGGGTGTGTCTCGGATGACTATATCCCTTGCTGTCATCGTAAGTCCCTCCATCTCCACTTTCTTTCAGTGGTCATCGTCGACTAACATCCATATAGATGTTCGAACTCACAGGCCAACTCTCTTACACCGTCCCGTCTATGCTCGCCATCCTAACCGCAAAATGGGTCGCCGACGCAATCTCTTCAGAAGGCGTCTACGACCTCGCTCAATCCCTACTCTCCCACCCTTTCCTCGACCCAGATACCGCTCTCTCCATCGTCCGCCGCCACAAAGCCTGCGTCGAGGTCCTCATTCCCCCTCAGCGCACCATGGATGACATTACCGTTCACGTGCCTACAAGCAATAAAGTAGCTTTGACTCTGTTGAAAGAGAAGCTCGATTCCTTGAGAGAAAGAGGTCTCATGGACGCGGGTCTGGTTCTAGTACAGAAGAATGATGGCGGCATTGAAGTATTACAAGGGTACATTTCGCAGTCGGAGCTTGAATTTGGATTGACGAAACTCGTTCCTGGTGTGCTTGTATCGGCGCAGGAAGAGGATGTCCAGGTTAGGTTGCTAGGCCAGGATATTGATGAGCCGACGAGTCCCATGAGCTTGGAGATGGATTTGACGCCTTTTGTGGATCGGACGCCGTTGAGCATCTGTGCGAAAGCACCTCTGGAATATGCTGTCGAGATGTTCTCCAAGTTGGGTCTGAGGTATCTCATGGTGACAAAGGAGGGCACAGGACAACTGGTGGGTGTGATTATCAAGAAGAGGCTCGTAGGTTATCTAGAACACCTGAGAGAACATGGCGAAGGAGATTAGTAGGACGTAATTAGTACACACGATACACTGTTTAGTGGACAATATCTGATTATAGCATCTTTTCGCTAACAAGAAGCTGAGGCGCCTGCCATGTCTGTCTAGTCACTTTCGCAACATGTCTGATCACAGCCAGGTCGCTCAAAGTACGAATCGAATTACAACGCTCGTGTCCACACGTGAAATATTCCAACAACCAAGCCCAGCGGGACGTCAGCCAAGACCAGCTTACTCCTCGGCCTCGAGAGGAGCCTCCTCGTCGTACTCGTCCTCACCCTCGGAGACGGACGCCTCCTGGTATTGCTGGTACTCGGAGACCAAGTCGTTCATGTTGGACTCAGCCTCAGTGAACTCCATCTCGTCCATACCCTCACCAGTGTACCAATGCAAGAAAGCCTTGCGCCTGAACATGGCAGTGAACTGGTCACCGACACGCTTGAAGAGCTCCTGGATGGAGGTCGAGTTACCGACGAAGGTGGAGGACATCTTGAGGCCGCGGGGAGGAATGGAGCAGAGGGCGGTCTGGACGTTGTTGGGGATCCACTCGACGAAGTAGGAGGAGTTCTTGTTCTGGACGTTGCGCATCTGGTCCTCGACCTCCTTCATAGAGACCTTACCGCGGAAGTAGGCGGAGCAGGTCAGGTAGCGACCGTTGCGGAAGTCGGACGCAGCCATCATGTTCTTGGGGTCGAACATCTGCTGGGTGAGCTCGGGAACGGTGACGGCGCGGAAGGAGTGGGCGCCGCGGCTGGTGAGGGGAGCGAATCCGACCATGAAGAAGTGGAGACGGGGGAAGGGAACCATGTTGACGGCCAACTTCCTCAGGTCAGAGTTGAGCTGACCAGGGAAACGCAGGCAGGTGGTGACACCCGACATGACGGCGGAAACGAGGTGGTTCAGGTCGCCGTATGAGGGGTTGTTCAGCTTGAGGGTGCGCATGCAGATGTCGTAGAGAGCCTCATTGTCAATGCAGAAGGTCTCGTCGGAGTTCTCAACCAGCTGGTGGATGGAGAGTGTGGCGTTGTAGGGCTCGACAACGGTGTCGGAGACCTTGGGGGAGGGCACGACGGAGTAGGTGGCCATCATGCGGTCGGGGAACTCCTCACGGATCTTGGAGATGAGGAGCGTACCCATACCGGCACCAGTACCACCTCCGAGGGAGTGGGTGATCTGGAAACCCTGGAGGCAGTCGCATCCCTCGGCCTCGCGGCGCACGACGTCGAGGACCTGGTCGACGAGCTCGGCACCCTCGGTGTAGTGACCCTTTGCCCAGTTGTTACCAGCACCAGACTGGCCGAAGACGAAGTTGTCGGGGCGGAACAGCTGACCGAAGGGGCCGGCGCGGACGGCGTCCATGGTACCGGGCTCGAGGTCAACGAGGACGGCACGGGGCACGAACTTGTTGTTGGACGCCTGCTGTAGATCAGTATTGGTCTTTTATCTGCCAAAAGCGTAATCGGGGGACGCACTTCGTTGAAGTAGACATTCATGCGCTCGAGCTGCAGGTCCGAGGTGCCGTTGTAGACACCGGAGCCGTCGAGGCCATGCTCGCCGGAGATGGTCTGCCAGAAGGCGGCACCGATTTGGTTACCCTGGGATTGTTAGTTGTCGTCTGTACACAGAGGAGCGATATAAGAACTTACGCATTGACCGGTCTGAAGGTGCACCTGTTGCAGAGAAACGTCGTTAGCTGTTGTTCTTTGTGTTGTCCCTGAGTCTCGGCGCGGGGCAGCGACGCGCCACGCCTAGGCGGCAGTGCGGGCGATACGTACAATCTCACGCATGTTGGCGGTTGGGGGCGAGGAATATGGAAGTTGGAGAGGTGAAGATGCGAGGAGCTGGGTTATGGCTGGTCGCTGGTGGTGGTGCTGGTGTGGAGAGCAGGAGGAGCAGAAGCGGTGAGTGCGTTAAAGATCTCTGTGGGTCGTCTGCACGGGCCGTCGGCGCTAGAGCTATTTACTAACAACGCGCCAAAGCTGGTGCCTGCCGGCTGAAGGGGCTAGTCATGAACATGTACAGCTGCACTAGCAAGGCACAAGTCGCTGCTGTCGAATGGCTTCGTCGCTCTGCAGTATCTTGTATTACTGGCTGGTTTCATGTCGTGATAGACGTGCTACTGGAGGCGGTTGCAGACTTGTTGTTCCCATCCCATCCCCTATCAAATCCGCCTAACCGTATCGTCGTTCGCAGCGCGGAAACCGCACAACGCTGATCTTGCAAAGCACATGCATAAATCCTCCCTGACACGCGAACCTAATCCTGCCCAAGACTCCACGTCGTCACCGCCTATAGCTCCTTCTTCGTTGAGCCATTTGCATGGCCACCAGCCTGTCGCTTGACAACCTGCGGCATCGTCCAGAAGTTGGGCCAGTAGAGCTCATACTCGTCCTGTCTGTAGTTGAGGCAGTGTCGGAGCCATACGCCCCATACAATGTAGTAGTAAGCTCCAGTTCCCGTCATAAGATGCCTAGTATTGTGAGCTTTCGTCTTTCTAAGATAAATGCAATACTCACCACCAGCCGTGACCCTCGAGCACGAAACCCCAAGGCATGCCAATCTCTCTCCTCCATTGGATCAACTGCGAGCAATGCACGTTGTCGAGGTGCCAGACAGCAAAGCCTCCCAGGAAGATACTCAGACCGAATGCAATCATCTGCCACATCTTACTGAGAATTTCTTGGTCGCGCACGTCTTCTCTCTCTTGAACCGCCTTCACACCTCCGTGCGGCCGCGGGTTCGCTGCTTCCCTCTCTTTGGACTTGAAGCGCGGACGGATGTTCACCTCCATCACATACATGGCGCGGAACAGGACAATCGCTGTGAGAATCGCATAGGCGTTCTGATGGAAGGTGGGGTCCTGGAGGAAGTGGTAGTAGAGCGTAATGAAGGCGGCAAGAGACACTAGTCCAATTGCGAGGACAGTAGAGTACAGCCTTGACTTGCCATAAGAGAACGTCGCAAAGTTCATCAAGCAAGTCGTGTAGATCATCGAAAGCTCGTCTACCAACTGCATAGGATCTAACACGAATCAGATACTGCCTTCGAACGATTGATTCAACAGCAGACATACATTTCAATGTCGCGTGAAAGAGAAAGCTCCCAGTTCCAACGAGTAGATAGCCAATAAACGCCACGAGAAAGACGGTGTCATGTCCATTCTTCAAGCAATTGCGTATGCCTTTTGCAGCGAGGTACATGAACAGCAGATTCGTGAGCGTGTTGATAATCTCCGCAGAGTACTGCGTGACTACATAATTCTTCAAACGGTTAGCACGCGCTTCTCCAACGCAATGACCCTCTCAACTAACCTCTTCACACCAATCGAGCGTAGAGGTGACCGGGGAGAAGAACCCGTCCTGTTCAGGCGGGTACGGTATCGACGGTAGACGGGAAAAGAACGCGGCCATCTTCACTCTACAGAAATCCCGAAAAGAGAAAAAGAAAGAAGTGAGAGGTTGAGGAAAGAGAAACTGCAGGTGTTTGACTTCGCTATCAAGCTTGTATCTAGCACCGGCTTTTGCGGAAGGAAAGACTGGAGAGCGACAATCCGCGACACGAGAGGCCCATGCTCCAGCGATAGGCTGCCAGACTACCACGCCACACGTGGGCAAACAGTAAGGATTACTGCGCAAAAGGAATCGCCCCCAGTACACATTCCTGCCGCCGACGTATACCTCTCACACACGTCGGAAAGCTTGGCTCCCGAGCTGACGAGGCTGCAAGCTCAAGGTGCAGTTTTCGGTGTGAATCCAAACAGCCAATCACATCCGCCCAGGGTCTCTCGCAACTGCCGAACCGAGAAAGCTTGAGAAGCAGCAGCCAGGCCAGCGCTCTCACGAGACCTACGAGCCAATCGTCAACATTACCAAATCTCCGCCCACCATGTCCATGTCAAACGAGGCCTTGCAGAAGGTGCGTCAATCAATGCGATGTGATGGATAAAGAAAAGAGCGGGGATCTAACGCGGGAAACACCCAGGTCCTACAAGAAATCAGCCAAAAGAAGGCCTTCGCCGAACAACAACTCGTCATTGTCAAACAGCAAAAAGCCGCCCGGACGCGAGAGGGGCGTATGCTGCAACTCACTTCCTCCGAAGTCTCGTCGCTGCCTGCAGAGACAAAGGTGTATGAGGGTGTCGGCAAGATGTAAGTTGCATGCCTCGATATTTGCCCCTCGCGGCTGCGGGGGGACTTGGGATGAGATGAAATACAGAGACTGATTGCTATGAACAGGTTCGTCTGCACGCCTATTCCAGATGTGCAAAAGAGGCTCCAGGAGGAGAGTGAGGCTTTGAACAAGGAGATGACCAATCTGGATAAGAAGGAGGATTACCTTGAGAAGACGTATACGAACAGCAAGAACAGCCTTGAGCAGGTACTGAAGGGCGCTGCTTGAGCGTGCTGTCGGTATTCCGTCATGGTCATGAGATTGATTCAGAAAATCGGAATGAGGGGTTAGGAAGACAAGAAAGAGTCTACCAAAATATTTGCTCTTGCCACTGAGTTCTGCAGACACAATGGCAAACACTAGCTTCTGCTCTACGTATGATAGCAGGAAGTTGGTAGTAATACAGCCACAAATTCAATACGATATTGATAACACACAGACCACCAGAACCGTTGGCGACCAGATACTCCACGAGATGATCATTGATAGTCGCGCGAGTATGAAGTAAAGTGTTTATTTCGCTTTTACCATGCCTTTATCTCTCACCCTACCGCATCCTAACAAGCATCGCCTCAACACCCTCCAAGCACTTCCTCACCTCCTCTGCCGCCCTCGCTACATACGCGCCATCCACTACCCTATGGTCAGCACTCCAGCTGAACACACACTCCTCCCTCTTGATCAGCTCATCGTTCTCCCCAAATGCCGGGACTACCCTCGCTTTCCCAATACCCAAAATACCAACTTGAGGTCCAACGATAACAGGTGCCACAGCACCGCCGCCTATGCTACCAATGTTGCTGACTGTGAAGGTTGCACCAGTGAGATCGGCAGAC